TATGTAGTTAAAACCTTAAAATGTTCCTGTTGTGCAATCAATTTGATGTCTATGCAGGATGAGCAGGGAACCTCACAGACGCCTGTTACCTCTTTGTTTGGTTTGGACTACATCAATTAAATAAAGTGAAGCTTATGCTCAATAAGGAGGAAGTGTAATCACTCATCTGCCTGCTTTCCCAGTTGTTAGAGTGTTTGTCTGTTCTTTACATCACTACCACTTTCCCACGCTGGCAGTCTCAATACTGACATCATTACTCTCACCTAACCATGTTAGTGCACATCTTCTTTGAACCAATCAGCTCAGAGAAGGCGTGCAAGACTAAGCCTAGTGTAAATCCATGTTCTCTATCATTCTTCCTCCCAGACTCTCATTTCTGCAGCCCACCTCCTCCCCATCTCTACCTCACAGACGCCTCAGTCAGAGCTCCATCCATCATCCGTCTTCACCAGCAGCATAAAAACTCGTCACTGCTGGAATTTTGTTTAGTCGTGTTGGGTCTTTGGAACCTAATTCTCTTATCATGAAGTAAATCCTGTTTAATTCTTGCAAGTGACCTTATTGAAATAATATATACAATTGGCTGCCTTCCACTGTAACATAAGGATTTAACAATTGAAACAACTGGAACACGTGCCTATGTAACCGGTGTGATTCTGAGTTGTGTCTGATAAAAAAGGTAAAAGAAAGAAAGACCTCCAAGTAAATATTACGCCCACTCCAGCTCCTCTCCCACAGGGGAATTGTAGAAAAGGGGTGGCATTTATTTTTACATTAAACATAAAGTATGCATTTACACGTAACATATTTGACATAAGATAAAACAAAAACAACAACATGAAATCCGACATACCTGATAATGAACATAACTACAGGCTTGGAGGTCCTAAAAGTCAGGTATAAAAGGAACAGTTTGGGGGTTTAGAACACATTTTGTGTAATTATAACAATGTGATTTATGACCCTGTTACACCTACTTTTTACTACACTTAGGGGTTGTTCCGAGCACAGTGCAACTTCTCCACTTTCTCAGTTGTTTGCGATGGCATTGCCAGGTTTTTACACTGTGCTAAAAGAACGGAGCATCTTTTTTTAGCACTAAGTGTTTGGCTATTTTATTTCAGGTCAGCATCTAGTGAAACACTGCACTCCACATAATCCTCCTCCTCTGTCTATATCCATGTCTGCGTAGCTGAGATCCACAAAGTATCACAATATTGATGTAGAAAGTTCATTTTTTGATGATGAATCATTTGAAAATGTCCAGGGAGCGATGGAACAAAAACAAGACGCAGTTAGAGTGAGCTGTTAGATGAAGAGCTGCAGGATATTGGCTGCATACCTCCAATTACTCTGTGCCATGCTGTTGCAGACACGTCCTGTGCTGTCCTGCTTGACTCCTACTAAAGGTGCAAAGTTTTTCTTGCAATCATAATTTAACTGAAAGTCTGCCAGAAAAACAATTGCAATGTAATGATAACAAAGTTTCAGATTCTGTGCTCAGACCATGAAAATCGTGCTGTACATGCACATGTACATGTACATCTCTTGAGACTAGTTTAGGTATGTTTCAGGACTTTTTGACGGCTGTACATTACAGTTATACATGCACAAAAAGTGATTCTCTCATACTGAACGTTTCATCTGTGTGGACAAATTCACCACCACTTTCCTCTGCTTGAAAACAGAGCTAGATATAACTCAGAGGCAACAAGACCAAGTGTCTGATACAGCGATGGAGGCGTGCTGTGCAAAAGTCTTGAGCTCCTTACTTCACATTTTCAAGGAAAAGTGGGAAAAGGTGACGTGATTTATTGAAACGTGCAAACATACATGGTGGTACAGTACATAAGGCAAACTGCAAACTGAATATGCACGTGTAGTGGAGATCATCTTAAAAAAAGATTGTAGATGCCATGCTACAGGTAGATGGGATACCAAACATAGAAGAAAAAGAAGAATTAGCAACATGTTGTATCACCTTGTGGCTATTTTGTACAGATATGAATACAATGTGTGTAGAAATATTTGCAAACCACTGGCCCGTTCCTATTCCAAGATACCCGACTGTCTGAAATGCATCGAATTCAACCAAAGCAATCTTATAGTGGCAGTGTAGTTAAACTGTATGACCTGAAAGCCGTTCAGAAAATTTCCTACCTAGATAAATGGCTGCTATTATACAGATATTCTGGGAAACATAAAATGACGACCCTTTAACACCAAATTGCTTCTAGAGGAAGGCTAATGGTGTTTTTT